AATCTATATGAAAATCAAGAGAGAAACTAACGTACTTCCTTCCTCTATGACTTTCCACACGCTAATGGGGAAAGCATGTGAAGTGTTGCCATAGGAAAAGAGTTCTGCTCTACGCCACCTGCAGCCCATTTCGATCGCCCTGGAAAATGTATTTGTATTAATAATGTATGTGAATGCGTCATAATGTAAGAATGCGTCATAATGTAATTTCAGGAGAGAAAACCTAACAATCAATTGATATTCACGAGAGACACTTTTACACCAGTATATAAGAATAGCTAGCTAGCAAGTATGGACATTAGTAGGCAATTATAATTTTTAATTTCGGCTTTGAAAGACAAACTTGGCGAATGTTTGCAATACATTATTTAACTCAATGAATAAGCGAATGATAGAAAGTACTTGACGTCCGAATTTGTTAACATTGCGACCAATGTTGCACGGCAGGATGGCTTTAGGAAATTTAATTTCTTAAACCGTCGTTTAAGACTTATATTATACGTTTAATAAAAAATTTGAAAAAAAAGTGCTTAAAATATGTCACAAATAAAAGGGAAACATTTATTTATTTCGATAGTATTTATTTACATATTTTAGAATCCTTTTCTAACTTCGATGGAGGATATAGAGATATACCGCCCAATAAGACTGCCACGGCTCAAATCTTTGCTACATATCCAGCTGAACATATTTCAGTCTATGCTGCATTAGGTGACCAAGTAAATTAATTTTATATTTTTTTTAATTGCAATTTAATTTTTTGAATCTTTTCAAAATCAGTTTTCCAATAAAAAGACAAATTACGACTTTAATAGAACAAATAAAGTAAAAGTAACAATATTCTGCCAAAATAAAATTTAAAAAAAATACTGGTAGGGCAATTGAATCGTGTTGGGACATATGTGTTCTATCGGGTTTTTTTACACGAGACACATATGTCCGAATAGTGTTTTCGTCTGCGGGTCATATATGTCCCGAAAGGGTGGAAATATAAATCCGATGTGTTTTAGTGAATTTTGCAATAATAAATATGTTTTATATGATATAAGTAAATGATTTATTTGATGATATGATTTTATATGATATAAGTAAAGAGTCTTAATTATATTTTACTTTAATATTAATAAGGAAGGAAACGAAAGTCTTAGCACCTAACATCCATTTTTCTTATAAATGTAATTTTAATGCTCTTATAAATCATTTAACGAGGAGGGATTATTTTTTGAATAATTTCGAATGAGTGAGAATGAAAACTAAGGGAAATAATTCTAACTACGTTTTTATAGTCATAATTTAATTTTCACTGATAAACTGATGGTTGATATTTACATTATTATTTATTATTTTATGTTATTTTGGTAACCGGTACAACACAAGGTCATCCTCCAATTAGAATGTGATAAATACGGCATTCGGAAGAAGCTTTACAGCCTATTAAGTTTAATTTATAAAACTTTAGCTTTATAATGAAAACTTATTTTTAAATAAAATGTATATTGCTCGAAATTTATAAATCCGTAACAATTTTTCATAATTAAGATTATATTGAGAAAGTTACTTTTTTTGTTTGGTGTGTTAGGCAAAATATTTTCAACAAAATAATTAATAATATGAAGCATGAAATGAATAAAAATATGAGAGAAGTCTTGCAGTATTTATATTGTTTCGTATTTTTAAAACTTTCTATTTACAATACATTCCCAAATTCAGTTTCTTTTTCTTAATTTCTTGCCTTAAAATAACACAGTTAAAAATTATAAAAATTTTAAGAGCATCTAAGCTTCTTCAGTACTAACGAGGACTTTTTTTCCTTCCAATTTCTTTTTTTTTTTTGTCGCTTAAACGCTTTTTTAAAACTACTTAAATATCATGATTAATTTAGCTAAATATAAATTACTAACAGGTTCTAATAACCAGATAAACGGACCTGACATTATTTTGTGATAGAAAGTTACTGAGCCACTTCCGTTATGATGTAAACAAAGACTTTACGCATGAGCTGAAGTTGGCACTGGAGTTGTTCTATGCCAAAATAAAGTTACCGTGTCACTTCGGTTCTGATATAAACGAAGACTTTACGCATGAGCTGAAGTTGGCACTGGAGTTGTTCTATGCCAAAATTAACGCCAACGCCAAACATGCTCTGAAGTGAGAATATTAAAAAGTTACCGTGTCACTTCGGTTCTGATATAAACGAAGACTTTACGCATGAGCTGAAGTTGGTACTGGAGTTGTTCTACGCCAAAATTAACGCCATGAAAAGAAATATCAACGAATATAGATTTAAAAAAAAATTTTTAAAATATTAATCTCTACAAGAGGAACAAAAAAGTTTATAAAAACTAATAGTTTCTGAGAGCAAAAATACAACCCTAAATGTACCCTAATGTAAAATGTACCCAAAAATACAACCCTTAATATAAAATGTACCCTTGGCTTTAAATGAAAATAGACAGCTGAAAATTTAAAAAAAAATAAAAATAAAATAAAAAAAATAATTTTTTTAAAAAATCGATTTAATAGTTTTTTTTAAAAAAAACTCAATACATTTTTATATGGGATACGACATCTGACTCCTATGAGAATGAATTTAAAATTTTATTTTTCAGATTCTTACAAGTATGTTGTTTATGATGATCATTTTAGCCATCACGGATCCTCGCAATATGAACATCAAGAAAGGGCAATATCCCTTAGTCATTGGTCTAGCCTTAACCGCCGTAATTTTTGCTTTTTCTTACAACTGTGGAGCTCCTCTTAATCCTGCCAGAGATTTGTCTCCTCGAATATTCACTGCTCTAGCTGGCTGGGGTAAAAAAGTCTTCAGGTATGTCGGCAAAACAAAGTTCATTGATCGATTTTTCTTATAATAATAGCTCCTTTGCGCCATGCCCATTTGAATAATGCAGCATTTTCTTGTTGTATTTAAAAGCGTAAGACAGATTTCTTGGATTCTTCAGCTTATTTTGATCACTCTAAGGACTATTTCAACATTATCTTACATGATATATATTATACTGGGAACATTTTTTTATCTTGTGGCAATGAGATTTTTACAACAGATCTCAAATATTTTCATACCGCTGATTTCAAATCTCCAATCGGTGTCTCCTTCCAAGCTTCAGTTTTTTCCCCAATGCCATCTCTAATTTATTTTTAGTCGAAATGTGCAAGTTTAAAAACGTTATATGTAATAGAGGATTGCATAAATGTTGAAGGAAACTTATAGTGGAGTAAAGGGGCATCATCACAATTAAAACTGAATAGGAACCCATGCCCGAAAAGGTCATCATGCGTCAATAGAAGCGCTTACCTGTTATGATCTGTTTCTTCGTGTGCTTCTAAACGGTCTCTGAGAAGGAGAGTTGTTATCGACAATGTCAACATTCTACTATGCAAAGCTATCCCGTCATAGAATCGAGTTAACATGTTGTATATACTAGTGAATTGGAATTGTATTTTTGTACTGGTAGATACACGACACAGGTCATAATATGGAAGCGCCCTTAGCCCCCTTCAATAACATTTCCGGGCATGGGTACTGATGCAGTTTTAGTCCTGATGATGTACTTCAACTCCCCAAAAATCTGTCGCAATATTTAAGCGACTAACCGTTATATGTAACCTTTTAAAACTTATACATTTCGACGAAAAATATCATTTTAAAAACAAAAATGTTTAGTTTTAAGAACAGACTAATTTCAGATTTGAAATATCCACATCTGAATTAGGCAAAATCAAGTATTTGTATAAATGGTACAAAAAATTCGTTCCCTAGTGTAAAAAAATCTTAAAAACCTTCATTTTACTACAAAAGCAAAACTTCAATATAATGAATTTATTAATACATTTTCTCATCTAATATTTATACATTATTCCGTTTAAAAACTTAGGAAAACAACTTCCATTTTAATTATTTTAGGGACAAAATAATCAATGGAAGTTGTCCTTATAGTAGAGTAAATTTTTGATCTTTGTTTCTAACTCTAATCCTAATAATTATTATGAGAGCTGACAATACCAGAATTGAGTTACGTAAGGGACACTTGAGAGTATAAGCACACTTTTCTTTTCTGATTTTAAGGATGTAAGTCAACATATCAAGATAACACTATTGGCCTTATTTTAGACAATTTCGGATTCAACAATTATCTTTTTAAAAAGACAACCATAGCTAAGTATGAGTGATAATATTATTTACTAAAGTATTATTAAACGATAATGAATCCAATTCTTATGCTTTATTTCCCAAAAGACATAAGATGGCAGATCATTATCTCTCAATATAGTTCAAAGAAAGATAGATAATTTAATAATAAACATAGATCATTCATAAAATTTATCAAAGATCCATTTTTTCCAATAAATTAAATTGGAGGTTTCAAATATTTATGGTTGTTAAAGAGTAGCGCTTATATCATAGTATAAAAAGAAATTTAGATGTTCTCAATTCAATTTATATACCCTTCTTCGATACTTCTTTTTTTACCATAGAAATGATTTTTGTGAATTGTTGATGATGAAATTGAATTTTTTGACGAGCAAATTCCTAGACAAATCATTCTGTTTATTAATTATTCCGAATTGTCCGTTTTTTTCCTTCGGCCACGATATGAACTAAAAACTCTTTTATTGCCATGCTCTAAAGTATCATAATAAAATTATTAAATTTCACCTCATTTATCAAATTTTACCCAAACAATATTTTACTGTTGATATTATCAAAATCACTATCAAAGCACGTAGGTAAAAATTACCGGACTATTTGGCGCTCCCATAAAGCCAGACACCCGGTAAATTTTACCGTTGGTAATTTTAACCATGCTTTTTTTTTTCTCGATGTGTTACAGAATCGTGTTATTCTTAAAGTAACGTAATAATTAAAAAAAAAATCTGTCTACAAAATGCTCACAAAATATAATCTCATTTAAAAAACCGATATGAAAACACAAGCGGAAACTGCGTTTCGATTGTGTTATTAAAAACTTATTTCTTATTCATTTTAGTTTTGGCAAACTGCCTTTTTTTTAATTCTAATTTTAATTTAAAGAAGAAAGAGAAATTAATTTAGAATTAAAGAAAATTTAAAGAAAAATTAATTTGAAGAAAAATGTGACATGTTCTGTCAAAATATTATGTGATTGTTGAAGACTACGTACTTCAGCTGTTCATGAAATCCATCCTAATACAGCTCCACCCGTGTATGTAAGAAGAGAATCACAAGAAATCGTTGCTTCTATCGGCAACGCATAACTTTTTTTTAAAAAATGTTTTCACACAAAATATCGAAGCTGTTTTCACTCTAGGACTCTGTATTACAGCTTGTTACGCCACCTGTGGTACATGTCTTCATAGAACTAGGAGAGATAAAGACATAGATTTGGGCCCCAAAATAACTAAACAAACTCAAGCCTTTTAAGCATACAAAAAAAAAAATAAAAAAAAATGTTTTCATCACTCAAAAAGCTCTAAGCAATGTTGAAACTGACCTTACCTGAGAAATTTGTTTTCCGAAAAACTAGTTTTTCGGTTCTAGGACTTTCTATCATATGAAAGCAATATTCTAATGAGTATCTAACGCATGCTCATTATAATAGCATCTATTGGAATATTATCTTTTAAATTTTGAGTATTACGTTATAGATTAATTAGTAATGCATATAGTTTTTTATATTGTATATTTATTTACTTGTATGCAATTGTTATTTCAATTAGCTTCCGAGGATACAAATTTTTTTGGGTTCCTGTGGTTGGTCCGCATATTGGTTTCGTGCTTGGTGCATGGGCTTACCGACTTTGCATTGAACTTCATTGGCCAGTGGACAGTAATGACTTTGGCAACCCAACGCAAGTGATGACCAATGGAGAGTTAAATAAAGAAAACGATTTGCCTACTTTTGAAAGGAAAAGTGAGTTTTCTGTTGTCGTTTGTTATGGCTTTGGCATTTCTTTCATTGATATCACAATCATAAAAACTCAACTTTTTTTTAAGAACAATTTTCCATACAACTCCGCTTCAGAATAATGATTTATAAATTGGCTTACTTGTCATACTGAATTAAAACAGTAAAACAAAAGGTTTTATATATATAAATAATTAGAACTTTTTATATCTACATCCTACTTACCGTACATAAGTTCATTAATCAAGTAATGTTTAATTTCTGAGGGGGTTTCATCCCCCAAACCCTCCCCAAAACTATGCCACTGGATACAACCAACCAGAAATTTAAGAACACTGTAACTAACTTGCCCAATTACTGGATTTATGCTTCATTGTTCAAAATTCGTCTTAAAATCAGAATGGTTTTATTTTTATTGTTGACCTCGAATATCGAAGAAAGTTAATTTTCAGAAAGTGGTATTTTATTTCAAGGTTAAAACAGTTATGTTATCTTCTTAGTTCTATAATCTATTAAGACTTATTATACATTAAACTAACTAGCATAAGAATATGTGAACATGTTTTGCGAAATTGATCAAAATCAAAAGCATTATCGAACATTTTTCTGAAACTTTGCGTTTAATTTTAATAAGGTTAATAATATACTCTAATATTCAGTAAATGAATTCTTACTTCAGAATTTCTCAATCTCTATTATGGTGTACTACCAGATACCAAATTTCTTTCAAAAAAAAAGTTTAAAAAAGAAATAGCCATGAAATATTATGTTTTGATGGAACTCTTATATACTTAAAAAAAATTCACGAGAAAAGTTGTGTGTAATTATAAAAGCATAAATTAAATGTTTAACGAGGGCCGGGATAGCCTGGTCGGTAGGGCGCTAGACCCATGTCCGAGAGTTCGTGGGTTCAAACCCCCCGACCGAAGACTCCTTGTGTAGTAAATGGTGACTGATGCACGTTAAATCAGTCCAGTCGCAAAGTCCTCCATATTCCTATAACAAATCAATACCTCTGGGGGTACTGGATTGGAGATCGATCGTTCTCTGATTCAGGACAAAATTACGATCTGTGGATGAAAGAATTGATGTATGAATGGGTCCGCGCTTTAAAACAGATGTTACGTATGGAGTGGCAGAAGTCGAATTCCTGGCCATAGATGGCGCCACTGGAAAACGAGAACAATCACACCCCTCTGCCTAAACAGGCATACGAAAGCAAGCAGCAAGCAAATGCTTCATTTTCGTTTCTGCAATAGTCAAAAATGTTAATAATGAGTAAGTAGACACAATATTTACGGATGATTTAGCAGTAAAAAAATTCTTTGCTTGAATATAGTGCTATGCCAGTGAGTATAATATTTCTAAGTTCCGGTTAGATTTTAATTATTCTTTTCATGGTAGACTTTATCGTACTCATGTTTTTTTTCCTTTCATACTTGCGTACACTAAGTCACTCCCGTGTTTATTCCCGCTCATTCTGTTCATGTACCAACTATCATTATATGTCCTATTCACCCTGAAGAGTACGCGATTTTACCCTATTATGTTCGGTTTTCACCCTGATGAGTACAAGTTTTGACCCTGTTATGATTTGTTTTCACCCTGAAGAGTACAAGTTTTGACCTTGTTATGATTTGTTTTCACCCTGATGAGTACAAGTTTTGACCCTGTTATGATTTGTTTTCACCCTGATGAGTACAAGTTTTGACCCCGTTATGATTTGTTTTCACCCTGAAGAGTACGGGTACCCACCTTGCATGACATTCACTGCTTTAAACGAAGTGCTTCAATAAATAATTCTTATACTTTTTAACGAAAGGATTATTATGCTCATTCATTAATAAAAATTAGCCTTCTTCCTTCGTCTTTTTGTGACAAAATATCACAATAAAAAAATGATTCAAATTCATTAAATGTGTAAAATCAGAAACAATAAGAAATACTGTGATTAACCTTGTTTTATTTTTTATTAAGAATAAATGAACTTTCAAAAACAGTTGAAATATTTTGTTAAGATAAAAACACGAAAAATCAACAAAAATGTTTCTGACAAATGCTATTCAACTATATGTAACTATCTTGGATGGACCAAGATAAAATTGTTCTGATTCTGATATTGGTAGGCCGATAAGTCTTGATAATTTATCAGCGAAAGTTATGACGGAAACTAAAAATTATCTTGGTCCACAGTGCTTGCTCCTTAGATTAATCCATTTACGCTTTTCTTTGGAAATTCCACACCAAAAAATTGATTTGTCATTAAATTGCAAAAACGTATATTTTAATAATGCATTTATTGGCTATAATCTTTACTTAACGAGTATTTCAAGCAAACGAGCTTTCAAATTCTAATTTCGAATTTTTTTTTTTTAATTCCAATTTTTTGTTTTTAGTTTTTGATGAAAATGATATGTGCACTGAGCTCATAAAGGCAATGAAATAGACTAGAGGTATGTAGAGTTTAGAAAGTTCCCCTACCCTCAAAGCCAATAGTTCCCCTACCATCACCTACCCAGAAAGTTCCCCTACCATCAGTTCTATATACTTGCTCAAAATAATGAAGCTTATTATTAATTTTCGTAATTTTCTTCGTTACTCTTTACCCCATTTGCCCTTATTTTATATATATATATATAAAGAATACAACTCTAATGAATGAATAAACTCTGCATCATAGAATCAAGAAACATCTTGATTCTATGATGCAGAGTGGTCCGTAATCTACTTCCTCATATATAATTTTAGAATCATCTTTAAGAATTAAGTTTAAAAAACTATACAAATTTGGAATAGCAAACTACCATTTAAAAGCGGGAAAAAACGA